TGTGAGGAGTGAGATGAGGACACACTGTCAGTCCGCAGGAGCACTCCAGCTACGCTGCAAAAGTAAAATTGCTTTTTAATTAATGGCTTTTGACAGCATTTTTCCTCTATTGTTTCACAACCACATACCTTTCAGACCTGTCTGCTCTTCAAAGCTCTTGGCAAAAGAACATGGTAACAAAGGAAAAAGCTGGAGATCTGCTGAAGAGGCCACACCTGCAGGGATGGATCTTCAGGCACTCCGGCTTCAGCAACTTGTTCAGCCCCTCTGCAGACACGCCGGCGCGTTGTGCCTGATGGCAGGGAGCTAACATCAGCTGTTCAGGTGTTGACATCTCCTTTTCTCTTCCAGTGACGAGGGTACTTCTGTGCAGAGAGGTTTAAGGGCACAGCACAGGGGCTACATGAGCAGGGGGATATATCTGGGCCACATTTTGACAAAACTAGAAAAAAAACCTTTATCACAAGAACCACTATGGTGCCCTTCGATCAAAAAAAGCGGTGGAACTGCTGGAGAGCCATGCTCAGATGGGGCACCTGGTGTTTGCATTGGCCTTGAACTCACCTCCACAACCGTCTCTCAGCTCTCCAGCATCCCCAGCCGGGTCCACTCTCATCTGCCATGCAGACTGGATGGCACATGCTTAGAAATGGATTAAAAGCATCACAAGGTTGTTGATTCACCACTGATTGACCACAGGAATCTTCATAATAATTCTCACCATGTAGTTTAATGTCCACAGATTATTTTTGCTCTTGAAAACCATCAAGCTTGGAAACAGAACTGCTTTTTGAGTGGCATGGTAAGAGCAAAATCCTGCTCAGGTCTGTGCATCGTGCGCTGCTGGCTGTGACCCCTTGGGAGCTCACGGCTGTTTCTGGGGTTCCATCCAGGGTGTTCACATTTGCACTGGTTATGGTGCCTGCAGCAGGATCCCAAAACATCACAGTCAGTACTGCCTGTACAGCTGCTAACAAGCAAGTTCAACACTGAATAAGAAAAAATGACAAGTATTGTTTTTACACTTATGTACTCCCATGGGTATCGTGAAGCCAAGCTTTCAGTTTATCAGGGAACTGAATTTAAATAGTTTTTTCCAAGGTGCCAAAAAAGGTGGCAGATAAGGATGCCAAGTTACTATAGTAACCATGAGAAAAGTGGTGATTATCAGCAATAACACATAGAAAAGACAGACTGGATTGTCTTTTCACTTTACATGTAGCCCGTTGCTTAAAAATTAAGCCCTTTTCTAAAATAAAGAAATACCACAGAAAAATACCTTGAATATGAAACGCATTATGCAAAATTATTTTCAAGGATTTTTCAGCCTGTGCAACCTCGCCATTTGAGCCAAAGTTTAGAGGATGTGCCCCTAAACAGAATGCTTTATGGCTGAAGCATAAGTGAATAATAAAGCATGGCTTTTCATGTTTTCTTACCTAGTAACCACGGCAGCATAGGGGAAAAAAATCAGTATTGATGTCCTACTGTAAGCTCCTTAGGAGAGAGTGTGTTCTTTGTTTGGCATAATGAGGCTCACATCAGACAGCACTTGGGTACAAGTGACAGTACTGCAAGATCAAAGATTATGAAGTCCTGGCAGCTGCTCGGAGGAGTCCATGGCGGTGCTCACGTGTACCAGGCTGAACCCTGGCTCTTTGGTTGCGCTTCGGAGAAAACCTCGGCAGATGGACCTACGGCAAAAAGATTGAGATGAATGGGGAGAATCATTCCAGTGACATAGAAATACACTGCTCTGGGCTGTGGCCAGAAAGCATTTTTTAAAGACGACTTCTTCCTCCTGAACTACCTGGAAGCTGGTTGATTGTGTTTGTTAACAACGGGAAACAAAGCAGAGATGTCTGTCACACCTCATGTATTCAAGGAACACAGAAGGGCCTGAGAGACCAGCTGACTGACTTGTGATCTGCTGATGCCAGCAGCTCTACCAAGCTAACTTCAGTTCCTCTATTTTCAATGCACACCTAGGAAATATTCATGAAGCCTTACTACAATTTACTGCATTTCAAAATTTATGTTCTGAAAAATCATAACTGATGCTGGGTCCACAGAAATAAATCCCTGCAGTTTCATTAACCTGTAACTTTATGCCCAGACACAGGCCTTTTTGCCTGTTGGAAAGCACACGCTAGTGAGAACTATGTGATTCTCGTGGACTAAAACACTACACGACTGCTAGGATCAAGTCTCTGTGCTCTTCATCACTTGCCATAAATGCTGGCTTTGACAAATTGGCTAAATAAAAAGCATGCTGCGTGACAGCAGTGCTGCAGTTCTAGGTCCACAGGATGATGATTAAGAAAAACATTGTGAACAAAACTTACAGTCCTCGCAGCTAAGCCTTTTGTGCCGCTCAACTCACAGGTGTTGTTCACAGAATTATGGCAATCAGTCCCCACAGATGTTGAAGACGTAAAGCTGCTAACAGAACACAAAGGGCAAGGATCCCAAACTGCTGATTTTGAAAAGCAGGACTTTGCTATAAAATACTACTGTGCTAATGACAGGAAAGCAGAGCGTATCCGGAACCTGTCTGGAACACCAGACTCACCCTGAACCTCGTGTCACTGCCCGCCTGCCGCCTCATCCCATTAAAGGTGAGGGTAAGAGGACAAGAGTGTGGAGTCTCCAGGGTCTCCCTTTTGCCCAAGCTGTGGATGTCCACGACGGTTTTGGTTTGTTTTCTTCTTTTCCCCCAGAGTGTGCGGTTATCTCGGTAGCATCAGTGACCCAGTCTGGATTCACACTGCTGCCACAGGGCATCCAACCACTCCTGTGAGACATGCGGCTATGAAAGGAAGATTAACACCACATTTCAAATAGCCCTTGCCACAGACACAGGAAGCATGGCCCTGATCACTAAATGATGCTAAAAAGAAAGATTCATACGCACAGATATGCACAAGCATGTACAAGCTAGCATCTGATTTTTGAAGGTCAAAATTATGATTTCATTGAACTTTTGAACTGATCATGGCATTAGCAAGAACAAGTACAAATCTTTCTGGGAGAAACAGGCTACGGCAGGGTAAGTAAATTATCTCAGCACAGTATCTGTCTTCCTCTGGATTTCAGTGCTACTCTTATTCGAATCAATTAGTGATGATATGTTTGTACCTGCCACAGAAGCCAAATACACAATCTGATCTTCTGCCAAGTCACTATTAACAACTGCATTTTCAATTGATTCTAGGATATTCATTAACTGGAATCCATAATTACAAATAATTTACAGACATACCACTTTAAATTACTTGCCAGTGAGCTTACTAAGCTCACTTTATGACATTCAAATACATTATTCTTAAAAACGCACTGAGTAATCAGCTTACAGATAATCACAGTGGAATAGCACTGGATATAATCAAGGAGAAACTTAGAACAAGAATCACCAGCAATGCCTATAGATCAGTTTTGCCATGTGATTTTGACATTTCCTTTAACTGTCCCCAGAAATCCGTTATGTACTGAACTGGTGGAATCCAAAGCTGCTCCACCAACTCAACTCCATTACAACACAGCTCCTTGGACTTCTTGTTTCACAGGCAACCCCTGCCTGACACCTTTTCTCCAGTACAAGGCAGCTGATTTTTCAATGATTTATTTACTCTTTGAGCAAGTGTTTGGTTGGCTGGGGGGGGGGA